TGTGTGTGTGTGAGTGTGAGGTTGGGGGAGGGGGGAGGGCAATGCAAATTACAGAGATGTTTTGGAGGATTCAGCGTGCCGAATGTTGCATTGCGATTATGATTTTGGTAAGAGTTTGCAGTCAACACCCTTTTTCTCAAAAGTGTCCGAAAGCGAAGCTCCAAGGCAATGCTTATGAGAACAAAAAAGCAATCGTATAGACTAATTTAAAGGACGTATTTTCCTGCTTTCACGCTCGTTGTATTTATAAAGAGTAAGTTATTGTGAAAATGTACGGGCTAAAATATTTCATATGAAAAGGACCATTTGTGCCAACCATATCGTTCGAATGATCATTATTATTATATTTTTGGAGGGTTTTGTTTAATTTAGTTTTTCATTTCTACAAATGATTGTAACATTTTTAAAGGGAAATAAATGAACACTCTTACTTAAGTCAGTTGCATCTCAATTTTTGTTTTACATCATTCTACGTATCCATATTTAAGACATTTATGTAAGACTAGAATGTGGCTGTTTTGAGTGGACCGATTGGGCCATATAACTCTATTAACACGGCTTAGTAAACGAAAGCAATTTTTAGACAATCACGTAGATCTTTTATAAGTGTTAGATATAGAAAATATCGGCACAGCGGAAAACAAACGTTGTTGCAACAATCCTTTCATTACTTTTTCGTTCGGCTTCTTTTTGTTTTGCTTTGCTTTACGCTGCTTTGCTTTCTTTTTTAAAAATTTGCTAGGAGACAGCGAGGCGTCTTTTTTTTTCATTAAATAAATAGGGGGAAGCGATTGCAGTTTTGTGAGTGCTTCTGCATGTGTGTATGCGTCTATATCTGTACTGCTTCGCATAATGATAATGATATAGTTGTTGCTTTTCGTTGTTGTTTGAACGTCTTTTATCTTCCATTCTTTTTGTGTGTTTTTTTGGTGTGGCTATTGTTGTTTTTATGTTGCTTGTTTTATGTTATAATGTTATCTCCTCAAGGAATGCGTTGTTGACTGATACTCGTCATTACAATTGAATTCATCGTACTTCGAATTTCACCGTCACTCGTTAAAGTATTAAGTTTCCATGGATTTGCAAACATTATTATAGTTCGTTTTTATAAATGCACGTGCTGTCTCCATGGTTGCCTGTTTGTCATGTGTAACAGAAGCAGGGAAATGTGACCGAGGAACCTTTTTATGCTTGTTTTATCTTTAAATTGTATTTCGTATCTTCTTCTCTTTGTGAACATACCTTCTACGCTGTTCATTGTATAATCAGAGTTCATGTTTCTTTAATTTCCTTAATGCGGTAGTATTTCATCGATGTTGTCCCTCTAATTATGAAAGGTTATACTTTAATAATAAATGTCCCCTTAGAGGTGTGTATGTGTGTGTGTGTGCGTGTGTGTGTGTGTGTGTGTGTGTGTGTGTGTATGTGTGTG